TCCGTTAAAAAAAGAAATATTGAAATAACATATAATGACAGCACGGTTGGCGCCGTAGCTGTGCATAAAATATGTATTGTGTAACCAGCCTCCACCCAGCGTGTAGCGGTTTCGATTCCCGCACAGAGCAACTCTTTGTGTGATCCACAAATCGTTACAGGTCTGAGTAAGATGTGTATATGAAATTGTATGTTTGTAAAAACACTCACGACACGGGAGATAAACCTGGTATTGGGCAATGTTTATAAAAATGTACATATTTGTTATGTATTTCGAAATATACGTTTCTTGCGACTCTGATATTGTTGTGAATATAAAAGTGTCCTTGTACTCATTTTTCATCAATTTCTTTACATCTATTCTTTGATGAAACAGCATCTAGATGCCGAGGGTGCGCTCAGCTAAACTAAATTAATGTAATTAATTTTGTATAAAGAATGAAACGAGGTTCCTTCAGGGTATTTTAAAGTGGACCGAGTATGAGCCAGTAACTTGTTAAGTTTGTTGTTAAAATTCTTAGTGTTTTTTCTTTTACTTTTTTCATAAAATCTTGAACTCCGTTGGGTACCGTAAACTTATTACAGTGAAGTTATTTACATACTGAAAGTTTTTAATTATTCAATGTTCATGTAATTATTTGTGAACATAATTTAATGAAATTATTGGTATAAACAATCAATGAATATCTCGAATATTCCCTCTAGAGCTTTTATCCATATTATAACTGTTCCAGACAATAGGTAACCTTAGACCGATAGATACCTTAACCTTAATCTTAACTTAAAAGTTTTTAGATTTTTAATGTTATCTTAACAGAAGAATCGAACTTGCATATCCTCTAGCTTAAAAGTCGCTCTAACGAAAGGCCACTTAAGCAAGAATTGAACCCCTTTTTTTTAAGGGGGGAAAATCATCTAATGACTGCTCCCGCCTGGGTGAGGCGGGAGGGAGTGTCAGACTCTTACTGACTATAAACCACCCCGTTCCTTCTCCTGCACGTCGAGCCGGAGCCCCGGTTACCCGTTAGGTTCTCCGCGACAAGAATTGAACCCCTAACCTTGAACTGACCAGTAACTTCAACGCTCAGTTGAGCAATGAGGTGCACTCTGTAGTATATATACTCACTATATAGTCTCTATACTCGCTGATCCAGGAATCAAACCTGAGGCTTCATTTTCCATCCCATCTATAATTTGAACACCACTTCTGTATAGCATTTGAAAGGATTAAGGCGTTGTATCTTCTCTCTTTCCTGTAATAAAACTCAGTTCGTGTAAATTACACCTCGGGAACTATACATAAAACACGGGTCAGTGATCTTGGGGCAACGAGGACTAAAAAGTATATAAAAAGAGTCCTTTCACACCAGGTCACTTTAAAAAATACATACATAAATAATCTCAAGCCTGTCTCATGGGGATGGAACGCTAACTACTACGATTTAAATACCTCTTTCGCTTCCTCAACAGTTGTCAGTCTTTTTATGCATGCTCGTCTGTTAAGAGAACTTAAAATTTTCCACCACTTTAATATCACCCAATTTGGTCCAGGTATATAGAGGTATAGTAATACAAGATACAACTAACAGTATAAAAACATAATACTTATTTAATCATCATTATCGTCGACAGCTGAAATACTTCTACACCAGAACTAGTTATAAAGCTTTATTATTGAACTAGCGACCCGCTCCGGCTTCGCACGGGTGCAATATGTATATACATACAAACCTTCCTTAAGAATCACTCTATCTATTAAAAAAAACCGCATCAAAATCCGTGACGTAGTTTTAAAGATCTAAGCATACATACGGACATACAGCGAAAGCGACTTTGTTTTATACTATGTATTGATAAACCGGTAAACGAGCAAACGCATCACCTGATTGTAAGCAATCGGCGCCGCCCATGGGCACCCGAAACACTTTTGGGGATTACGAATTTGAGGATTGTTGGGGATTTGGGGATTAGAGAGATTGGGAATGGGTGTGGGACTCTGGAAACCTCACTCAAACGACGAAAGACAACGAAGGTGTTGTTTCACGTCGGTTTTCGATAAGGTCACTATCATAGGTACCTGTCGACTTGGCCCATTCGTGCCGAAGCATTGCTTTTCCACATTTAAAAACTTTCATCATCATTACCATTATCATCATCGCCAGTAGCCAAGACAGTCTCCTGCTAGACCGTAGGGCGGTCCTGATGAGGCCTAGTGATAGCCTTAGGTAGGCTCTTTCTTCTTTTTTCTTTTAATAAAACGTTGCCTTACACTAGGATTTGTGTGTCGTGGGTGCGTTTACAAACATACAAGGTCATACACATGACACCTAGACCTGACCTGAAACAATAATTTGTGGATTACATATCTAACGAGTTGGTCCGTGCGGGAATCGAACCCGCGACACGTGGCGCTGTAGCCAGTTCCCCAGCCACCACACCACCCTTGCGGTCAATCTATCTCTTTATACATCCTTATAGTAATAGATACGATTTTTTTATAATACCTACTGTTGATACCAACTCTATCACTTCTTAGAGCTTAGAGAATCAACATAATTTTCGTGTAGCCCACACGAAAATTATGTCGCAATAAATGGGTACGGCAATCGGCCTATTCTCTTACTTATATATTATATTCTCTTACTTATAGGGCTAATTTCATTTAGTTAACACCTGGGCCCAGGAATCTATGGAGCCATTCCCTTCTCCATTGTAAATAAAATGTACACTGTTACACAGAAAAATTAAGTTGATTCCAGTATAATATCAAAATACCCCATATTTTCTAAATCTTCCTGTACTACGGTTTCCCCTTAAGTTGTGAATCGTGGGTGCGTTTACAAACATATAATTTCACATGCATATCACACCCAGACCCCACAGCTAGAATATGAAACTTTGCTTGACCTGCGGCGAGGATGTTATTGCGACTTCATATCCAAGAGTCTATTCAATAAGTAGTTCCTAACTCCAGGATCGAATTTGAGACCGTTAAAGCTTATAACACAGTTTTAACTAGCACGGCTAGTTCATAAGTTAATTGTCGGGTTGGAACCGTGCCGGAGCCATGCCAGAGCCGTGCCATGCCGTATCCATGCTTGTTTGGTGTGCGATGAGCTTTAGCCGGCACCGCTTCAACCCAGCAATTAACCTATCATTTAAATATGGTCTTTAAATTGTGTGATTAATTAATTAAATTAATTATTATGTTTTCCGTTTACTCACGTAACTGTTTGCTGAGGAACTCGACTAGTTTCAAGCCATGCTAGAGGCTCATGTCCAAGAGCAGCCGCCGGCGAGCGAGTCTAGCGTGCCAGCAGTCTAGCGCGTGTCGCGGCCATCGATACCGCGGACAGAAGAAAGTGCACGTGAATCACGGCAGAGGGCGCGTTGGGTCCGCTGTGCTGCGGAGCCGAGCAGCCAGTATCGCCTGTTCATGAATATGAGCCTCTAGCATAACATAGCTTGAAACTAGTCGAGTTCTTCGTCAGAGAGTTACGTGAGTAAGCCGAAAACTTTATAATCGATGACTTTTAGTGTAATATGACATTAACACTCATCATTTAATCAGTGAACCAATCACCTTTCTCTTAAAAATACTTGTCTTGTCCCTCTCTAGGATTTTCTCTAGCCGTTGGTGTATTAAACAATATGAAAAATTCGCGTACACATCACTCACAGACCCGTAACAACAATTTGTGGTTCACACTTTGGGTGCGAGAATCGAACCCATGACATGTTGCGTAGCAGACGGTTACCCAGCCACTACGACAACAGCAGTCATTCAAGTAAATATTACTAACGTAAAGTTAGCAAGAAGTACTTTCACATGTACCCTTCAAAGAAGAATATTAGTCTGTGCCTAAAGCCAAAAGAAAATTTACGTCTCCCGAGCTCCGCGCTTGTACGCGCAGTAGCTACAGTCCCATAGGCACCGCCCACACCCCTTGAATAATATCTGACTGATTGCTATTAACGCCGAGAATTTCAATGAGACTAATCAAGTACACGAGGGTTGTTAGGCAACTGTGCAATTGAACAGTTGCACTTTGTATTTCCAAAGTTACTCCGTCAGAGGCACACTCTAGCGGCTAACATGACTGCGTATTACATATTATTATATGCGACCCACTCAATACGTTAGCATCCCCAAGAAAACTTCTTAAGTTCCTTAAATACTGGTGAATGAATATTGAAAATAATGCATTTAAGAACCTATTATCACATACTGGCATTGATGATGTACTGAAAAGAGATGCGTTGTTTAGAAAAACTAGGTAGACTCATAGTTAGTAACGTTTATATATTTAAATTATAAAATTTAGACGTACTTAAATTGAAATTTCAAAACCACTATTTTTATGTGACACCCTTTAAAGTAATGATAGTAATAACCAGGGCCATCTAGCAGATTTGCATAAGTTCCATAAAGCACGGGCCTATGGGAACCATTTAAGCCCGAATAAAGGTAAGCTTCCCTGGCAAAAGGACATTAATTAATAATACTTTTATTATGACGCTGCGGGTAAAAGGTCCGTCCGCTCTGGGTGCCTCCTAGCGCTCATAAAATATCGTTACGTACAAATTCGAATGAGCTGTCATAGTTACGCTACCGTCGAGAAATATGACGGTCCGATCGTAGTACGTTATAAAATTGTGCACAGAAAATATGGACCCAACGTATAGGCCACGTACTAACGAGCGCGGGCGCGTGGTGCGTGCGTGGCCCCTGAAGCGGCGCGCGCGATCTTGTTCTCGCGCTCATGATGCGATGCTGATCACGCTGAGCAGGCAGCGCGCATGTGTCGAGGACCTTTATGTAACCGCGGGCCGATCTGAAACGGAGCGCGATCCATGGACTAACGTCCGTTAGGAAACTTTACTCATTCATCTTTTCCCTAAAAGCGGGGTGAGCGGGGTCCGGGCCGCGCTGCGCTACGCCGCGCGTGTTACATAACCGTGGCGGAGGGCGACGCCGATTCCAAGTTGAGCCGCCCTGGAGAGCGGACCTGCCGTGGGTCGCGCGCCTCATACAAACTCGCACCCTCGCCGCATTCGCACTCACCCCGAGCGAGCGCGTGCCGCGTAGTACGGCCGGCCGATACCTCCCGCGCTACCGACCTCCTCCGACTTCGCAATCTTTGTTCTCAACACTTTCCAAGTCTAGATCCTAAACTTTGATACTCAGTTGTTGGCTCCAAACTTCCCAGCGAAGGCGGTAAGCCATTTGTTTACTTACAATTATTTGTTACTTGTTTTGTTTTCTCATCTGCTCTGCATCATCCCATGTTATATAACAATTTGACATCGCTTTTGTTGCTTTCACTTTTGTTTTTTTTTCATTTAAAATTGGCAGCTAAGCGGCAAATTATACTCGACTGCAATTTTTTATGTAATATGTGTTGAAGATCCTAAGGAGCTTAAAAACTTTCTACGTGTCTTGTTATAATGTTTCCAAAAAATCTTGTTGATTTAATAAATTACTGGACAAGTAAAACCAATTCAAATATGTGTTTTAAAAAAAATAGTAATGAAAGTATGAAAAAGGAAGCCTTGCGATAACATTTTGGCGCCTTCGACTCCTTCGCCTCGAAACTGTGTTTATTTACTACGAATAATTAAATATCAATGAAAACGCCCCCTTTTATAAATAAAACAGTAAAGAACTCTGTGAATTTACAATGGTTCAACAATCACATTTTGTGAAGTGGAAAAAAATTAATTAATTTCGCAAAATGTTTCAAAGTTGACGAAATTCGCGGGCCTACGAAGTTTCGTAGCTTCGTAGTAAATTCGTAGAGGTCTAATAAAGCGGCTATCATTTTTGCGTGGCTCCGATGTGGAGGCGGCTCGTGATTAATGTTCCGCCACCAGGCTGTCGGCTGCTCACTGATCTATCTACCACATATTATCTCGTAGAGGCAACAGTTATTGTTTGTGCCATACTCAGCTCTTATTTTATAAGCATGTAGCTACGTGGGCGTTACGACCATTGTTGTCCTGCTGTCCGAGGAAATTAATCTTTTACATTAAATAGTGACAAAATATCTGTACAAACAAGGATAAGTGGCTACACAAAAAACAACGAGCCCTTCCTTCCCAATGAATTTTAGTGGCAGGAAAAATGTTTTTCATAAAAGTCTTTTAGCATTTACTCGGCTATCAAGGAATTCTTTAGGGAAAAAACGACACCTACAAAATAAAAAACCAAAAAGAAAAATGCCCCATATTTCGGTGGTCCGCCGGCCAAAATATAAATGTGAACGAAGTAATAGTAATGTATTTGTTTATTTATAAAGATATTTAGTATTTCAGTTCCGTAATACAATTGAAGTAATCGTATTCCGCGTGCGTACCCAGTTCTCCATTTTGCAAAAGTTGATTGTAAACTTTGAAACAATCCGACTGTGCCGCGTTTTATTTGCCATAGGCGAAGAATTTTAATTCAGGGCACAGACGTTATCTTATGTGGAGGAAGCAGTCAGTAAAACTGGAGGCCCGCATAGGCGCCTGCATATATTCACCGTACATGCGAGCTACGATGCGTTCCTCCATGCCTCCACTTTAGTGGAACAATGCCACCTTTACATTCCTTGCCGACCTAAAGGAGTCACGTTTACAACCGATTGTCGCTTCAATACAAAATAAAATAAAAACTAAATTGGTAATCTAGGCACACAGAGCACTTTACCCTCGGTTCGTCTAGATATCAGAGTAGCATTGCGTCTAAGCTTTATAGGTTTATTGTTATAGCAAAGTATGTTTTAAGCTTTGTTCGTGACAGAACAAAACCCATTTCAAAGAAAACGGATTTTAATCGGATTGTTATAATATCGCGTAGGCTCACAAACCACGGGTTTTTCTTACGTCGCAATAATCCATCAACAATGTCAGGAACATACGGATGCATATGTGATTTTGTTTACACATATACAAATAACTTTATAAAATATTGGAGCTGTTCTGATAAACATGCTTTTAGTTATCGAATCATATCTGATCCGAGTACGTGGCCGTGAACACTGAGTGCAGCACATCGATGCTTGGTTATCAGATACATAGACCGCGTCGTCCCTTCACTTTTCAGGATTAAAGGTTTATTGAATTACCATTTCTTTGTTATTTGTGTGTGCAAAATCAGAAAGTGTGAGATAGCGCGCGACGCTGAGTGGCCGTTACGTACTCCAGTCCCCGACGACTGCACTTTATGTAAAGTACCTCAACTTTTATTCTTGGCTTAACATTTCCACTCGAGATAAACATTTTGTTTAACAGAAGTCACCATTAACTCACGTTGCTTTTGCTTTGCTTCGTGGAGCATTATCTAAAAAGAAATTATATATAATTTAAATAAACATTCAAAATAAAATATCTTGTAAATTAGCAGCAGTTGCGGGTCATTTATTAAAACGCACGGAAACATTTACCGTCTCAAATAGGTCTCATTTCAAAGAAATATTTTTATATTTTATCTTTGTACCACAATGAGCTATACATTGCTGATATATTTCCCGAGGCTTCCTGTTTCATTCCGTTTTGTCAAGCACCATTTGAATTTAGGCTCGACTCCAACCAACGCACCGCTTCCGAACCGCAATACAACTGATGTCTGCTTATTGACGTTCACAATTTTGTGTCAACCTAATATTCCAGACCACAATGAGTTTAAAGAGATTTGAGGGTAGCCAACAGATACGTACGGCTTTGGATCGCTGGAAACCACAGGACAGGCCACTGCAGGCCACTGAAAACTTTATAACGGCCACTTTCAAACGAAACAACTTGGCTTTTTTGAAGTTTTATATTCAAGCAGTTAAAACTCTGTTATGTTCCGTTTATGGCAATCTGTTGCGGACTTTCAGCGCCTAAGTCGATCTCTGACGTCACGTCGACACTTCATTAAATAAATTGTATTTTTCGACCAGACCAGAATCAATGTTAAACGAATTGGATTCTGAAATTCGGCATTACAGCATATTCGCTCAAAGTAATTACGCGCTACACGACTTTCTAAATTGGAAAGTACCCATAAGAAAATTTACCTACTACTAAATGTCACAGAGCATTGAATGTGTATAAAATTTTGTTGTACATTAATATAGGATTATTTAGGAGTAGGTATAATTATTTCGTAAATTGTTTAGGGCCCTCGTGCAAAATAAATGGTATGCGTAGGGTCTGCGTCATAATTTTGTAAGCGTCTGATGTGGACCGTGTTCTTGAAGTCGTTGGCATGAATATAAACAGTTTACGAGCCTGCAAACTGAGCCGGACGTTTAGTGGCGACAGAGGAACACGGTCGTGTGCGTGAATAACATCACATAGGAAAGTACACTAATGAATATTTACTGCAAGAAGTTCAGCGCGTACCACCGAGGGCAGTAAATTGCATTCCCTTTGCTGTTATCCTAATACTGTGCGCAGATATTACATAAATTCAAACTAAAACAGCGCTCCGGTATTAGATAATGTTGTTATTATGTGTTAGTGATAACGTGTTGTGATTTGGAGATCCGATAACCTCTAAGAATAAGGTTAAAGTTGTATGATACGATACTCTTATATGGAGTGAAATTAAATCGTGCGGATTGGTTAATGCGGGTTGTCAGGAGAGGTCTGAGCTGGGATCACTTAAAGCTTACTCGCGTGGAAGTATCGCTCGCGCGCCCACTGTGCCCGTGCCCGCTGCGCCCCGGCTCTGTTAGTTTAGGTCTCTTGTGATGATTGTTTACCCTACGAGTGCCGCCTATAAATACTATTATATCCAATTGATTCCCGTGCAATCTCCCAATTAATATTCTGTTGATGTTCTGTACAGTGTTTACAAGATACTGTGATTTTCGTGCTCCGTTTTACAAAAATATTAAATCTAAACAGTGAGTACCAGTTTTGAACGATTTATTTTTATATCCATATTATTTCAGTAAGCCGATGTTGCCGTGATTATGTTACGTAAATGTTTAATTATATGAGCGAGTGGTTGCTTTTGTGTCCATTTCAAATTCACACTTATGTTTGATTAAACCAAAAACCACATACAAACTCGGTTTAAACATCAGCTAAACTGAATTTGGAGTATGAAACCGATGGAATAAATTGAATTTTAAGCGAGTTAAGTTTTTAAAGCTGTCTGCATATTGAGAGAGCTAACGATCAAGAATGCATCGTTAATCGATTGGACAAATTGTCTTCCTATTCGATATTAATTGGAGAGATAACCTTGACCGGTGCGCTCTGAACCGCAACACTTTACAATTAGAGATGTTGGTTTCGTTCATTTCTTTGATTAATATTTTGTGAAATATTTTCTACACCGAATTCGAGTAGCACAATATTTAGTTGTATGTAAATTTTAGCCTAACGAAGTGATGTCAAGTGTAAAATGTTGTTCACAATAATGGAAGGAATGCTTTTTAACTATCAGGAATGTTAACTAGCACAACGCACAGACATGCCACGTTTGCCACAACACGGATCGTAATTATCTAAGATATAACTTCTCAAGGACTTTACTTAACAAATGGGGTGGGCTACAGAATACATACCATTTTGCGAATATTCGCATTGTTTTGGATTATATCGTATAGCCGCGATGTCGTGCAATCTTTGAGCTAAACAAACGTAATTACGTGATGGAGAAAGGCTTAGCCGATAAAATAATGCACTGTCGTAATAACTTAGGGCTACATCTAAATAAACAATATTTCTATCGATCAGCGTAACCTTGATATTTTGGCTAGCGGGAATAGAATTTCGTTTGCTTTTCGCACTTATTCGTGCCTACGCGGGTCCGGGAACTTTTTGACCTTGAGTATTGAAATACCTAGGAACTAGTGTTATTTAAGCATAGAGAAATGTACTAGTACCTAATAAATCACTCGCGTTTGAGTTCACCTTCGGGTAAGTACGAAGTAGAGTTTTATCTTCTGTGATGCTGACTTTCAAGGTGATATTTTAATTTGTCAAATGCCGAGCGCCAGAAATTATGGAGTTTTGACAGTTAGAGAGCTCTTTTAAATGAGTTGTTAAGTCAGAGCTGTAGGTATATTTGGTTGTAGAATTTTGCTAACTACGTCATTTAATATTACGCTGTGTTTGTGAGCGACATGTCTTCAGGGTATTTTTATGGCTTATGTTGTCCGGCAGTCATCCATCGTGCTAATGGCCGTTCGATATGAATAGCATCTAATTTATAGCGGGTAACACTGTTCAGGATGT